GGTATCTGTCTTTCGCCGTCTGACTTACTTCACTTAGCATAATGCCCTCAACGTCCATCCATGTTGTCACAAATGGCAAGATTTCATCTTATTTATGGCTTAGTAGTATTCCATTATATATATGTATATATATATATATCACAAGAAGATATACATATCACATCTTTATCCATTTATCTGTTGATGGTCACTTACATTGTTTCCAAGTCTTGACTATTATGATTAACACTGCATTGAACATAGGGGTGCATATATCTTTTCAAATTAGTGTTTTCGTGTTCTTTTGATAAATACCCAGAAGTGGAATAGCTAGATCACATGGTAGTTCTTTTTTTAAGTTTTTGAGGAATCTCCATACTGTTTTCCATAGTGGCTGCACCAGTTTGCATTCCCACCAGCAGTGTATGAGAGTTACCTTTTCTCCACATCTTCCCTAACATCTGTTATTTCTTGCTCGTTGATTATAGCCATTCTGATGGGCATGAGGTGATATCTCATTATGGTTTTGATTTGCATTTCCCTGATAATTAGTCATGTTCAACATCTTTTCATGTGCTTGTTGGCCACCTGTATATCTTCTTTGGAAAAATGTCTGTTCAGATCCTCTGCCTATTTTTTAATAGGGTTGATTTTTTGTTGTTATTGAGTTGTATGAGTTCTTTATATATTTTAGATATAACCCTTTATCAGATGTGTGATTTGCAAATATCTTCTCCCAATTGGTAGCTTGTCTTTTCGTTTTGTTGATGGTTTCATTTGCTGTGCGGAAGCTTTTTAGTCTGATGGTAGTCCCATTTGTTTATTTTTTCTTTTGTTTTCCTTGCCTGGGGAGACATGATATTTAAAAAGATACTAAGACTGATATCAAAGAGTGTACTGCCTATGTTTTCTTCTAGGAGTTCTATGGTTTCAGGTCTTACATTCAAGTTTTCAATGTATTTTGAGCTCATTTTTGTGTATTGTGTAAGATACTGGTCTATTTTCATTCTTTTGCATGTGGCTGTGCAGTTTTCCCAACACCATTTCTATTCCTTTGATCTGTGTGTCTGTTTTTCTGCCAGTACCATGCTATTTTGATTACTATAGCTTTGTAATATAGTTTGAAATCAGGAAGTACACTGCCTCCAGCTTTGTTCTTTTTGTCAGGATTGCTTTAGCTATTCATGGCTTTTTGTTGTTCCATATAAATTTTATGATTCTTTGTTCTCTCTCTGTGAAAAGTGTCATTGGGACTTTGACAGGGATTTCATTAAATCTGCAGATTACTTTAGGTAGTGTGGATATTTTGACTATGTTTATTCTTCCAATCCATGAGCATGGAATATCTTTGCATTTCTTTGTGTCTTCTTTGATTTCTTTCATCAATTTCATCAATGTTTTATAGTTTTCAGTGTACAGGTCTTTCATCTCCTTGGTTAAATTTATTCCTAGGTATTTTATTCTTTTTGTTGTGATTGTAAGAATTGTATTCTTAATTTCTCTTTCTGCTATTTTGTTGTTAGAGTATAGACATGCAACTGATTTTTGTATGCTGATTTTGTACCCTGCAACTTTACTGTATTCGCTTATTATTTCTAATAGTTCTTGAGTGGATTCTTTGGAGTTTTCTATATATATAAAATTGTGTCATCTTCACATAGTGGTAGTTTTACTTCTTCCTTTCCAATTCAATCCCAATTTTATGTTTATTTTTATAAATGCTCAGGTTGTGACATTCTGATGCATACTGTTCTACAGCTTACTTTATTTCATTTAATTACTTGGAAATAATTCTATCTGAAAATATATGTTGTTTCTAACCTTTTACTATTGCAAAAAGTTGTACATACATCATTTAACATAAACATGAGTATATTTGTTAGATAAGTTCTTAAACTGAAGGGTCAAAGAAAGTTTCTGTGAAATTCTGTAGGTATTGCTGAATTGTCCCCCATCATATTTGCACTCATTTTGACTCCCAAGAACCAGGCAAGGGAGTGTCTCTTCCTCACATACTTGCCAACATAGCGTATTTTCAAACTTCTTGATCTTTCCCAATTTGAGAAAAATCTGTTCTGTTCTTGTTGTAGTTTTAATTTGCATTTCTTTTTATGAATGGTACGGGACATCTTTTTCAATATTTCAGAACCATTTGCATTTAATTTTCTGTGAACCATTCATACACTTGGCTCATTTTTCTATTCAGTGGTTGGTCTTTTCCTTGTCAATTTGTGTGAGTCCTATATATCAAGAAAGGCTTTATGTGACTTTTAAGTTTGCTTAGGGGTTTATTTTTGCATGCATAAATTTTTGTGAACTTTCTCATCTTTTATGGCTTCTGGATTTTTTGTCACAAAGAACTTACCCAGTAATTAGATTTGTTTTTTTTTAAGTTTTCTCAGACCTTTTACAATTTTTTTTAAGGTTTTATTTTTCATATTCAAATGTTAAATCCATCCAGAAGGCATTTTGGTTTAAGATGCAAGGGATAGATCCAACTTTATCATTTCTTCAGAAGAACATCCAGTTGTTCCAATATCGTATTTATTCAAGAGGCTGTCATTGCCTCACACCATATTTCTGTGTGTGTTTGGGCCTATTTCTGGACATCCCCTTCTAGTCCATTGGTCTTCTTAACACCCTATTGTCTATTGGCGTGCAATGACAGGCCGTTTTAAGTGTCATAGCTTTTGTTGGTTTTTAGTCTCTTTTAATTTGGCTGCTGCCCTGTCCAGCCTCCTTTACAAAGCTTTGTTAGATTCCTGCTGACTATCCAATTTGCTTATTTTTCCCCATGAACTTTAGAGTCAGCTTCTTTAATTCCTCAAAACATCCCACTGGTATTTTTATTGAGAGCACCTTAAATGACCAGATTAATCAGACAACTATCTGGGAACATATTATGCCCTTCTACTTGCTTTGCTTTTGTGTTTATGTATGCCCCAGTATTGTTTTAAAGTTTTATTCAAATAGGTTTTCCAAGTTTCTTTTTAAATTTATTCCTAGTGTTCTAAAAATATATTTTCTAGTACAGTATTTTATTCCACTAAAGCTTCTGACTGTCTTTTTTTTTTTTTAATGTATGAAGGCTGTTGATTTTTTTCTTCAGCTACTTTACTAAATTCTCATCAACTGTCCCAGTTTGTCATTTGAATCTCTTGGTTGGCCAGTATACAGTCTTATTGTCTGCAGAGGATAACTTCAGTGTTGCTGTCCAATGTCATATCTTATTTCTTCCTCTGCTTCATTTGTCTTGCTTATGTGAGCAATGGCTATTTTAATAGAGCTTTTTTATAGCCTGAAAGGAAACTCATCTTGATTTTTTTCTACTTACATCCTTAAAATAATTGTAATGAGAAAAACTGTGGGAAAATAAAGCACGACTATAGCATGAATGGGGCAGCATTCACTTCATAGAATGGATTATTTACATTGTTAGTGCCCATTTCTTCCTGCTTTCCCTGTCATTTGAACTTGGAAATCTCCATCTGGATTGGTCTCAAAAATGTAAGAATAAATGAGTGAAGAAATGATCATAAGATGAGCAAATTTACATCAATTTAGTGGAACTGATCGGATGCTCGCTCTATACTAAGCACAAAAATGAAAAGAGTAGAGTATTCTTAAGGAGTTCACAGTCCAGTAAGACAATAAATAAAACACAGTGGAGTGCAATAGATCATATGCAAGATATGGAAGCAGCATAGAAATGGGAGTGATTAATTCTCTTGGAAAATCAAAGAAGGAATCCTAGGGGAAGTGACGTCTGAGAGTTTTAAAGGGATGCATACGAGTCACTGGGCAAATAAGGGGCCTGAGAAGGCATCTGGGCAGACAAAGGACAGCAGCGTGGAGGTCCGACACAGGTTACCGTGTTTGGGTGTCTAACAGCCGTTATTATAGTTGGAATATAAACTGAGAGAGGAAGTAGAAGGAAAGAAAAATAGAAACCTGCATATGAAAAATCATTTATATAAAGCAAGAATTCTCAATAGAAGTGGGCAGCCCGACCTGGGAGAGATAAACATAGAATCATCTAGAAAAGGAATTTTTTTTTTTAAAGATTTTATTTTTTTCCTTTTTCTCCCCAAAGCCCCCTGGTACATAGTTGTATATTCTTCATTGTGGGTCCTTCTAGTTGTGGCATGTGGGACGCTGCCTCAGCGTGGTTTGATGAGCAGTGCCATGTCCTCACCCAGGATTCGAACCAACGAAACACTGGGCCGCCTGCAGCAGAGAGCGCGAACTTAACCACTCCGCCACGGGGCCAGCCCCTAGAAAAGGAATTTTTTAAACTACACTTTTCAGCCCTCTGACACTCCTAGGATGTTAATGCTAAAGGGAGCGTGCCTTGTCTTTCAGGTGCGTTTGGGTGAAAGAGTTTGAGAACTACTAACCAGGCAACATGGAGCCAGTAAAGTGTCTCAAGGAGGAATGACACCAGATTTGCATTTTACCACATTCCCTCTGATAACGATTTGAAGGAGCCTTGAGGGCCTGGGGAGGGGACAGGCTGGGCTAGGGAGAAGCCCTTTAAAAGCTACTGTAATGGATAATGATGCAAGATCACATATATCTGGCTACCAAGTAGCAGAGAAGATAATTCAAGGCATATATAAGAAATGGAATTGGTAGAACCTAGCAAGTGATTGGATACGTAAGGTGCTAGAGGAGAAGGACAGGAGGTAGTCTTCCTGTGCTGTTCTTAGCATTTTGACAAAGAATCGTTTGGGAAGGAAGTTGATACTCTCTTTACCGATATGGTATGAACTGCCGCATTAGCTGATCATTTTCATCATCTTTGTTCTCCGTGACCATAAATATTTGAGAGCTGCTGGGAAGACAAGAATAATCATTTTCTGAGTAGCTATTGGTTGTCACTCTGAAACGTGAAAATGAATATCACAGTTTGCTATGTCTGGGAATTCCAATATTATTAATGCCACGATTATTCTCTAAAATGTATGATTAGTGTTAGATGTAAATTAATGCACTTTAATTTTTGTTTCCATGTTCTTTAGAATTCATTCAGAGGGCAGCCTTGTGGATGGCCCCGAAGCAAGCCTGATGGAACAGGACAGAACCAACCATGTTGAGGGCAACAGACTGAGTCCATTCCTGACACCATCTCCGTCTCCCATTGGCCAGACGGAACCTCTGGCTATAAAGCTACAGAATGGGAGCCCATTAACTGAGAGACTGTATCCAGAAGTGAATGGAGATACCAAGTGGCAGTCTTTCGAAAGTTATTATGGAATACCCCATATGAAAGGAAGCAAGAAAAGTCGTGTGAGTCCAGACTTTATACAAGAAGGCAGAGGGTATTCCAAGTGTTTGCAAAATGGAGGAATAAAACGCACAGTTAGTGAGCCTTCTCTCTCTGGGCTCCATCAGAATAAGAAATTGAAACAAGACCAACAGGCTAACGGAGAAAGAAATAACTTCGGGGAAAGCCAAGAAAGAAATCCAGGCCAAGGCAGCAGTCAACCAAATGTCTCCGATTTGAGTGACAAGAGAGAATCTGTGAGCTCTGTAGCCCAAGAAAATGCAGTTAAAGATATCACCGGTTTTTCAACACACAACTGCAGTGGGTCTGAAAATCCAGAGCTTCAGATAACGAATGAGCAGGAGGAGAAACGTGCTAACTCCCGTGACAAGAACATTGTATTACTTCTTAGTAACAACGCAGTGCTAATGCCTAATGGTGCTACAGTTTCTGCCTCTTCCATGGAAAACACACGTGGTGAACTCCTGGAAAAAACACTGTCTCAATATTATCCAGATTGTGTTTCCATTGCGGTGCAGAAAACCACATCTCACATACATGCCATTAACAGTCAGGCTACTAATGAGTCGTCCTGTGAGATCACTCACCCATCGCATACCTCAGGGCAGATCAATTTTCCACAGACCTCGAACTCTGAGCTGCCTCCAGAGCCAGCTGCAGCTGCACCTGAGGCCCGTGATGCTGATAATGCCAGTAAACCAGCTGCGGTGCTAATAGGTACCTGTCCCTTTCAGAAACCAGAACAACAAAAACCGGTTTTTGAGCTATGCCCAGCTCCTGCAGAAAACGATAACATCCAAGGAACCACAAAGCTAGTATCTGGTGAAGAATTCTGTTCAGGTTCTAGCAGCAATTTGCAGGCTCCTGGTGGCAGCTCTGAACGGTATTTACAGCAAAATGAAATGAATGGTGCTTACTTCAAGCAAAGCTCAGTGTTCACCAAGGATTCCTTTTCTGCCACTACCACACCACCACCATCACAACTGCTTCTTCCTCCCCCTCCTCCTCTTCCACAAGTTCCTCAGCTTCCTTCAGAAGGAAAAAGCACTCTGAATGATGGAGTTTTGGAAGAACACCATCGCTACCCCAACCAAAGTAACACAACTCTTTTAAGAGAAGTGAAAATAGAGGGTCAAACCAAGGCACCACCATCCCAGAGTCCAAATCCACCTACACATGTTCCCAGCCCCTCTCTGATGCTTCCAGAAAGGCCTCAGAATAATTGTGTTGACAAGAATGACATATGGACTCCAGGGACAATGACTGTTCCATTGTGTGCTGAGAAAACAAGACAAATATCAGAACATCTCAAACATAACCCGCCAATTCTTGGTAGCAGTGGAGATCCACAGAACCACTGCCAGCAGTTGATGGGACACAAAGAGCAAGAAATTCTGAAGGGTCGAGACAAGGAACAAACACGAGATCTTGTGCTCTCAATACAGCCCTATCTGAAGCCAGGATGGATTGAACTGAAGGCCCCTTACTTTCACAAAGCAGAATCCCATCCAAAATGTAATGAGGCATCACTGCGGTCAATTCTTCAGTATCAGTCCAACCCCTCCCATCAAATAACCTCCAAACAATACACTGGAAATCCCAGCCTGCCTGGGGGGCTCTCAGGGCAAGCGTACATCCAGAAAATAATGCAGCCGGAGCAGAGGCCACAGAGGTACCAAGCTGACATGAATCAAGGGCAGTCTCAAGGTGCAGTGGACCAGCATCTCCTGTTCCAAAAACCCTCACTCCAGGTGCGCTTCTCCAAGACAGACCCTTCACCTGAAGCTCACGTGCAGTCATTGTGCACCCCTAGATTTCACTTTCAACAAAGACCAGCTCCCCAAACTGAGAAACTCATGCCCCTGACATTAAAACAGCACTTGAATTCACAGGCTTCAGAGACTGAGCCGTTCTCAAACTCACACCTTTTGCACCAGAAGCCTCATAAACAGGCAGCACAAACGCAACCATCCCAGAATTCGCTTCTCTCCCAAAACCAGCAGCAGCAGCAGAAATTACAAATGAAGAACAAAGAACAAGGGTCCCAGACTTTTCCTCATCCCCAAGGCAACAATGATCAGCAAAGAGAAGGATCATTCTTTAGCCAGGTTAAAGTGGAAGAATGTTTTCGTGGTGAAAATCAGTATTCAAAATCAAGTGAGTTCCAGACTCATAATACCCAAATGGGATTGGAGCAAGTGCAGAATATGAATAGTAGAAATTCCCCCTATGGTCAGATCTTGAAATCAAATGCAAGCAAAGTGCACATTTCTTGTTCAAACAGTATACACCTAGTTCCAGGGAAAAAAGAACAGTCTATAAATTCTGAACTCTTTGCAGGAAACAAGACCCAAAACTTGCATCACATGCAATATTTTCCAAATAATGTGACCCCAAAGCAAGATATTCCTCACAGGTGCTTTCAAGAACAAGAGCGGAAGCCTCAACAAGCTCCAGTTCTACAGGGATACAAAAGCAGAAGCCAGGATGTGTCTGGTCACCAAGCTGCACAACTTGCTCAGCAAAGGTACCTGATGCAAAACCAAGCAAATGCTTTTCCTGTGCCTGACCAGGGAGGAAGTCACAGTCAGACCCCTCCCCAGAAGGACATTCAGAAGCACGCTGCTCTAAGGTGGCACCTCTTACAGAAGCAAGAGCAGCAGCAAACGCAGCACCCCCAAACTGAATCTTGCCAGAATCAGATGCACAGGCCAATTAAAGTTGAACCCGGATCCAAGCCCCATGCCTGTATGCGCCCCACGTCATCACAGCCAGAAAACAAAACGTGGCAAAAGATAACGAAGCAAGAGATCCCACCTCCAAGCTGCGACAACGTGCAGCCAAGGAGCATCCTCGAGACTATGGAGCAAAACCTGAAGCAGTTTCAGGTCAAATCATTATTTGACCATAAGGCACTTACTCTCAAATCACAGAAGCAAGTAAAAGTTGAAATGTCAGGGCCAGTCACAGTTTTAACTAGACAAACCACTGCGGCGGAACTTGATAGCCACACCCCAGCTGTAGAGCAGCAGGCAGCTCCTTCAGAAAAGACGCCAACCAAGAGAACAGCTGGTTCTGTTCTCAATAATTTCTTAGAGTCACCTTCCAAATTACTAGATACGCCTATAAAAAATTTATTGGATACACCTGTCAAGACTCAGTATGATTTCCCATCATGCAGATGTGTAGGTAAGTGCCAGGAACGTACTGAGACACACAGTGCTTATCCAGAATTAGCAAATTTATCTTCAGATATGGGATTTTTCTTTCTGTTTTTAATCTTGAGTCTGGCAGCAATTTTTAAAGGCTCATAAAAACCTGAAGCTTACATTTCTTGTCTTTAAGTTACAGATGCTTATGCTGCGCAAGAGAGAACTTCACTCACATTCAATTTTTTCCAAAAAATTCAAACAATTGTGCATGCTCATTTTCCCTTCTATTCAAACCCTTTAAACTATCAAGTTATCTGTTATAAGTTAATCAATCTATGTAACTCTTTGTATGTCGTCTTCTGCAGAGAAAGCCAGGCAGTAAAAGCATCTATTGAAACGAGAGAATAACTGCCCTGTGCAAACTAATTATAGGAACTTTAAATATTTTTTAATTCAAGGTTGAATGTGTTAGTGGCTCTACAAGATTGATTTCTAGAGAAGGGGAATTATTTTCTCCAGTCTTGGAGAGCTGGGGCAAATGGTGATGCTCAAGCTCTGAAGACTCATAAGGTTGCCCTTTCTTCATGTATAAACTTGAAATATTGTGACATGTTCATTTGGATTCCATTTTCTCTTTAAAGTTTCATTTTTTTTAAATAGAAATTATGGTATTTCTTTTTTTAGACAAACACTTTTTAGTTAAAATTCAAGGTACGTGATAGATCTGTTGGAATAGGGACACATTTTGCTGATGGATGCAGAGAGAGAGAGATGTATGAAGATCTTAATCATAGCCAGTCAGCTTGGATGCAGTGGAAGACATTTGGAAAAACAGATGTTAAACTAATGTGGCTGATGGTCCACCCGCCCACGTTATTCCTCCTACAACGGACACCCCACATGTTAGAGGAGTGGAGGGAGGAGCTGTACTGCCCTGTATGTGGTTAAAGTTGGGTTCCCCCCCGGGCCAGTGTGTCACCATGTCATGGACAGTGATGGGTGAGCGAGACTCGCCTCCAGTCCTCGTCCCATCACCCTCGCCTTTGTTCCCACTCTTCGTCTCTGACAGTGTGCAGCAGCCTCTTTCTTGCACTGGGCCCTCTCCCTGGCATTTCCTCTCATCATAAATTATTCTAAAGTATGTACAAATATGGGTCTGGATTCAGTATTGTTATTTCAAAACAGTAGTTACATGTTGTGGGGAAACGAGGAGAAAAATGTGTCTTGACACAGAGCAGTGTCCTGCAGGTGAGGTAAGACAGGAAGTTTGACGTTTTTTCTCCTCATCCAGGTAGCAGGCAGGCTTCTACTTGGCTGTAAAAAAAATTTTCAGTTTAAAAAATTGGATTGTAGTTGCTATTACATATAATATATTCTAATTCCCTTACTGCTTTCTTTGTTTAGTTCCACTTACTTGATTTAAAAGAAATAATTTCTTATCCCATATCTGAAATGTAATTTAATATATTTTTATCCAACAGCTAGCATGTACATATACTTAATTATTTGGCACAATTTCTAATACATTAGTCCATCAATTTACTCATTTTAAAGGAAAGAAAATGTTTACAGTCACATTTAGGGCCCTTACTGTGCAGTGGGGGATAAGCTTTGTGGATGTAGCCTTTATATTTAGTAGAATTGAGGTCTAAAATAATAATCTTCTATTATCTCAACAGAGCAAATTATTGAAAAAGATGAAGGTCCTTTTTATACCCATCTAGGAGCAGGTCCTAATGTGGCAGCTATTAGAGAAATCATGGAAGAAAGGTAATTAACGCAAAGGCACAGGGCAGACTAACGTTTATCCTTTTGTATATGTCAGAGTTTCTCCAGCTTTCACATACAACGCAGTAAACACTTGTAAATTGAGTAATTATTGGTAGGCTTAGCTATCCCAGGTTGCCAATACTACACACTGTGCTATTCACCAGGGAGTCACCAGACTTGACAGGACTGATGGTCTGTGAGCTGGCACAGGCTGCCCACTGGGAGGCGAATGCCAGAAAACCCAGGCACCAACAGGAACCAGCCAGCCAGCCTGCCAGGCACGGGGTGTGGCCCAGACTGCAGGGAGAGGCCCCGCCCTGGCTTTCCTGCTTGATGGGAGGGCGTCAAAGAGGAAACGGGGGGGCTGTGGTGTAAGAAGGGAGCCACTGAGTCAGGTTCACCCAGGGTCGTAAGTGAGCAGTCAACTTTAAGAAGTTGTCCCTGAGTATGAGCAGGGGCAAGTGCCATATACTGAACAGAAATAGAGACAGATTCTATTTATAGCTGCAATTTTTTTTTTTTTTTTTTTTTTTTTTTTACTGTTAAGCACACACACGCAAGTATTTACCTGAATCCACACAGTTACTCCTGCGTGTAGAAGACTGTTACGAGCGAGATAATCAGTGCAGAGAGACACTCTCAGATAGCTGTTTGCAGCCCTGAGCTGTTGCCGTGCTGGCTGCCTTTTCTCTAAGAGGCAGGCAGTGGTAGGCAGCAAGGACATATTCTGTATCATTCTTGCCCCATGTCCAATAAGTATGTAGAAATTCACTAAATAATCATCTAGTAGCCTGGCAGAAATCACGAATTCCCTAAGTGACTTTTTTTTATTAGCAAGTGGTGAGTAGTGCATTAATCATAAGGTAAAATACATTCTAATGCTATCCTATATTTTCAAGATTGCTAGATACTAGTTATTTGCCAGCTTCCTTTTAAAAGTATGACAGATTCTTTGAGGAACCGTTCTAACGAAAATCTGGTATGAGTCCCCAAGTTTTAAAACAGCTAAATTACAAAAGGACAAAAATCAAATAGTAATATATCTTAGAAGACTGAATTTAGCAAATTTAAAAAACTTTGTGCTTTGTGGAATGATGGATAAAAATAGTTTCCCATTACTCACACCCAGCATATAATTTCAACATAGTTCATCGCAATTATCAGTATCTTTTGATACTGAAAAAATACAAGGCTTAAAGTCTATCACCCACTTTGCTTAGCTTAGTCCTGTTTCCGAAAAAATAAACTAAACCATTCATTTCTCAGGATGTGGTCATAGAATAAAATTATGCTCAAATGTTCAATATCTTGGTTGCCTCTTATATTCACTTGCTAATTTTGTGTGTGTGTGTTTCTGTGGATTTCTTTAAGGTTTGGACAAAAGGGTAAAGCTATTAGGATTGAGAGAGTCGTCTATACTGGGAAAGAAGGGAAAAGTTCTCAGGGATGTCCGATTGCTAAATGGGTAAGTGTGACCTGACAGGGCCTTTGGGCTTCACTCTGGGGCATTTTGATACTTTAACCCTGAGAACTGGGTTTCCCACATCAAAGGGTCATTTATGTCAGTTGAAAGAAACATTGCTTATATTTATTTTATCATGTGTTCTCTGTTAAAAAGGCAGATTAGCTTTGAAAATCACGTGCAAACTGTATTTAACTGAGAGAATGTAATGGTGAGGAGAAGGTCCATTCAGTGCCTGCTAAAAGTGTAATTCTCCCTGGAATGGGAAGAAGTGGTCCATCATCCTTCAACGACCTTCAGTTAATCTTTATCTTGTCATTTACGGAAACCTTGAACTTTATGAGAGGCCCGCATGTCTTCCATCCGGCTCTGCTTTAACGCAGGGGCATTGCCCCCACTGGCTGGGTGTGGTCTGGTCCCCTCTCCGGGCTCTGACCCCTGGGTATGCCCCCACGTGATGGATGGGCGGCCAAAGGCAAGTTGCGGGTGCTGGCAGATGTCGCGCTAATCGTGACCCAGACGTGAAAAGTGCATAGTCAGTGCTCTCATCTGCTGCAAGTGACCGTGTTTTGTTTTGGTTGGGGTGGGGGGTGTTGGGGTGGAATGGTGACCCGCACAGGTGGTCCGCAGAAGCTGCAGTGAGGAGAAGCTGCTGTGTCTGGTGCGGGAGCGAGCCGGCCACACCTGTGAGGCTGCCGTGATTGTGATCCTGATCCTGGTGTGGGAAGGGATCCCGCTGTCCCTGGCCGACAGGCTGTACTCGGAGCTCACGGAGACGCTGCGCAAGTACGGCGCGCTCACCAATCGCCGCTGCGCCCACAACGAAGAGTAAGTGAAGCGCGCGGGCCCTCGCCGCTCCCGCCGGAGAGCGGGGCGTGGGTGTCAGGGAGGAGAGTGGAACGCGCGTTTCTGCAGTTGTAAAATGGGGGTCAAATGCCTGCTTCACAGTCCCGCAATGGGAAGTCGGATTTGCTGATGTGGATAATTTGAGGTGATTTCTTTAATATTTTGTACCTTCAGACAGTATAGCCATTAGTTGGGAGCAGCTCGCTGGAAGTCTGAGCGTCTGTACCCACAGGCACTTAATCTTGAAAGTATCTGTGTACCCACTTGCTACAGGTGACAGCTCTTTGTGTGCTTGGCCACCACGTTAGTAAGTATTGACACCGTGTCTGTGTTGCAGTATCTGAAACAGAAAGTGAGTTTGATGAGAACCCTTTAAGCGTAGGATTCCCAGGTCAAAGACCTTCGTATATGTGTAGCAAATGTGGAACACAGGGTTTGTAAATGTTCTGTAGAAACAAACTGATCTTGACTTCAGTCCAATCCAGTTCATTATTTCCATAATAGTCACAGTGACGATAGTCATCAAACTTGCTTCCGTTTTTACTAATCCCAGATAATGGAGAAATGAGTGGTTATGAATATGCATTATTTTCCAGGAATATAAAAATTTGGAATAGGAGAGCAGTGGTGTGAGGATAAACAGATTTAGTGCGTCAGTGCTAGTATGATTTTGTTTGTGTTTTTTACTTCTTTAACGTCATTCACTTGCAGGAAGTTTAAATCTTCGCTTGGAGAAAGCTTCATATTTATTCTTCCCCCGATGTGTTATTCCTGTACAATATTAAAAGAGTACAGGAAAATTCACAGTGCTACACTGAAAGCCTATGGTAGTTGTTTTGCTCACAGTATTTTTAATTCTGCACTTCCTCCTTTAATCTGCTTTCCTCTCCGTCCTCCAGTCTACACGGTAGTTTACTGCACTTGTGGAAATACTGTACTGCTCGTTGCAACAGGCTACTGCTAACCAACTTTGGTTTTTGCTGACTGCTACTCTAACTGGCATGGTTTCACCAGCTGTATGTTAACATAGGTTCACTCCCTGGGTCATGAGGGGTACAAGTCAACCATAACCTACTGGGAAAGTCACTTTTCCTATATGAAAGTGTGAGTTGGCTTTCTACCATAATTATGACCCAAAAATGTCACGGTGTGTACGTCACTGCCATAAGCCCACTTTTACGAATATGTTGGAAGGTAGAAGTTGCTGATTCATAACACATGACTCATAATCTTACGATGGACTGCTCTAGGTATAAAATACTATTTGGTTTACCCTAAGTTCCCTTGTTCCTTCTTAGAAAAAGGCATTCGGTGTCTCTAATCAGAAAGAAAATGAAAGTTAAGGCACATTGAGCTGATGTTGGTGATAGCATTTTTCTCAGGAACTCAGTAAGACTGCCTTGTTTTTAAAGCTGACTTCCTCTTAGATTTGATGGCTTGAACTTCTAAACCACTGAAGAATTTCTTGTGAAAATGACAGTTGCTGCTTTAAATTTCTTGAAGTTTATATTTTACATTCTTATAATTGATTTAATTCTAATATTATACATCTCTGGTACTTTTCCCCTGAAAGCTTTTCTTTAATTCCTATTACGCCATTGCCTGGAATGGAATCTGACATATAGGAAGAAATTCTATGTAAAGAACTTTCCTAAATTGTATCATTTTGCATTTGAAAACCATAATTTGAACAATAATTGGGCTAGGATCTAAGAAAAGTTATATTTTGTTTAACTGGTCTAAATAGAAGGCAAGTACAAAACTATTAAAAGACGTTCTTCAAATATTAAGACATTTTAAAGGCCAACCTGCACACTTTTGCTTATATTTGTCTAGAATTTCAAGGCAAAGATGAGTAGTTATTTACAGGAAGTTTTAGGTTTGTGCTACTCATACTTGGAAAAAGTCCCCCAAAACAAAAACTATACTTGAGATACCTGATAACATAGACACTTAACCAATGGCAACAGAGACTTCATTCCAAGACAGCTTTTGAAGTTTCTTCTACCCCTTAAAATAAGTTTTATTTTACGTCTGGCAGAAATTAAAACTATGACTTTTTGCCAAGAACAGGATAATCTCAAATTGGGGCCAGTGACTCACTTTAATGTTCAAAGCTGTGTGAACCTCATCACGGAGTCCTTGAAATCCCGGTGCCCACGTGCCCCATAACCACTCCCTGGGAGGCCAGGAAAGACCTCTGAGAGCATCTTTCTGTGGGAAAGTCAAAAATGAAATTTTACATTTCCTTTGAGCCAAACCAGCTGTTTTTCCTTTAAAGATTTCCCTTTGAGATTTCTATTTTATGTCTAAGCCTAACCAGTATTTTTTTGGCAAGCAAGAGTTGTGGGAGTGTATCTGTCAGGATAGGAAAGTCAAAGCCAGAAATGCCTTCTGCCATGCTGGGTGATGCAAAACTTTTAAAGAAACTTTATATTATAAAAATTTTCAAACATTCATAAATGGAGGAGTGCAGTATAATGAATCCCCAAGGACCCATCACACAGCTTCAATGTTTATCCACCTTTTATCAACACTGTCCTGTAGATTCTCCCCATACTTCCTACCCCCACCCCCACTATTGTTTTAAAGAAAAACTCAGAGACTTTTATCATCTTACCCGGTAACACTTGAATTTGTCTCTCTTAACAGATAAGGATTTTTACAAAACCTAGTCACGGTGTCATTATCATTCATCTCAAAATTGACAGTGATTCTTTAATATCATTTAGTGTTCACACCATGGTAAAATTCCCTAATTGGACCCTGTTTCCAAAAGAAAGAATCAAAAGTAAAAATGTACTGAGAAAAAGCCAGCCCACACCGTGCTTTCGATTCAGGCATTGAGCAGAAAGGTCCCATTCGTGCCACTGTCCAGCATAAAGAGTGTAGAACTTCCTTTCCCTCACACCTGTTCCAGTCTGGAAGGTAAATGACATGATTCACAGTCCTCTTTTTACCTATAACAGTTCCCCCTCTCTTCTCTATGACTTTATTTGTTAAAGGGACTGTAGGATTTGCTCTGTACAATTCCCACATTCTGGATTGGCTGACTGCATCCTTGTTGTTTTGTTTAGCTTGTTCCTCTCTCCCCAGTGTCTCCTGCACACTGGTTGTTAGAGCCTTGAATAAGTGGTGTATGTGTATGTGTATGAATATACTGGCTAAAATGCTCCGTAAGTGGTCATGAAATAAGCTTAGTTCTTCCTGTCCCTCAGGAGGGACATGATACCTGCTCGGCCCTATTTATAGTGGTGCTCAGAGCGCTCAGTGAGTCAGACATTGTCAGCTTGGTCCATCGTTCTGAAGTTTCCAGAAAACTTTCACCTAATGGTTTAGTGCATCCATTGATGATCATTGCCTCCATTGATGATCAATGTTTCAGTCATTTTGTTGTAGTTTGCAAATTGATAATTTTCTCATTTTTTGATGTATGAATTTGTTATATTCATTTAAATTAATTTTGCTAGTTTTTCTATACTTGCGTAAATTTGAATATCTGATCTTTTAGTTTAATTTTTTTTTACAGTTAGATGTCCAAATGGTAACTTAAAGGTTGAGACTATTTTTTAAATCCGTTCTATAGATGAATGTTTTTTGTAGTTGTTCCACTGATTCATCATTTAAACATGAGCAAAATTCTGAGTCATGTTAAAATGAGGCTGCCGTGTGCTAATACTCTACCAATATTTGAAAGGCCCATATAGAAATAAAAACGCCTTTTCATAGCCACTTCATATAGGAAATCACCTTGAAGTCACTCCACCTTGTGATGTAGGGATTTTTTTTAAGCATAATTCACATACCGTAAAATTCACCCTTTTAAACTCTATAACTCAGTGGTTTAGTCTATTCACAAAGTTGTGCAACACTTTTATCACTCCCGAAAGGAACCCCCAGCCCCTTAAGCAGCCACCGCCCATTCTCCTCTCCCCTAAATGGCAACCCCTAATCAACTTGCTGTCTCTGTAGATCTGCCTGTTCTGGGCGTTTCGTATGAGTGGAGTCATACAACATCCGGCCTGTCTGGCCTCTTTCACTTAGTATAATGTTTTAAAGGTTCATCCGCATCATAACATTAATCAGTACTTTATCCCTTTTGTGGCTGAATAATATTCCATTGTGTATATATACCACCTTTTCTTTATCCATCCTTCAGTTAATGGACTTTTGGGTGGTTTTCACTTTTTGGCTATTATAAATAATGGGGCCATGAAAATCTGTGTGCAAGTTTTTGGGTGGACGTATGCTTTCCTGGATGTATACCTAGGAGTGACATTGTTGGTCACATGGTCATTCTATGTTTCACTTTTTGAGGAACTGCCAAATAGCTTTCCAGCCGCACCATTTTTCATTCCTACCAGTGTATATGGAGCTTCCAGTGTCTCCACATCCTCCCCAAAAGAGTCATTGTCTGTCTTTTTTATTATCGCCCCCCCCAGTGAGTGTGAGGTGGAGCTCATGTTTTGATTTGCATTTCCCTAATGACTGATAATGTTAGGCATTATTTCATGTGCTATTGACCATCCATGTATCTTATTTGTAGAAATGCCTCCTTCTTAAGTGGAAATACTTAAATCTTTGTTCACTTTTAAATTGTGTTAATTGTTTTTTGAGTTGTAAGAGTACTTTATATATTCTGCATGCTAGAACTTTATCAGATACACGGTTTGCAGATATTTTCTTCATTCTGTAAGTTGTCTCCTCATGCTCTGGATAACGAACGTCCTTGAAGCACAAAGGTTTTCAATTCTAATCAAATTGAATTTATCTGTTTTTAGTTGCTTGTACTTTTAGCAACATATCTAAGAAACCATTGCCTAATCCAAGGACTTGAAGATTTATACCTATGTCTTCTTCCCAGAGTATTATTTTTTAGCTCTTACATTTAGGTCTTTGATCACTGTCGAGTTAATTTTATGACGTGAGATCAGAGTCCGACTTCATTCTTTTTCTTGAGCTTATCCACTTGAGGAGACTAT